TTTTTTTTAATGTGTAGTGGCCTTTTCTCCGCAAAGCCTGCCTCGGTCGAGGCTTACACAACCTGTACAACTCAAAAACACCACATCATACACAAGCACTTACAGCCTGCTCCAGGAAAGACTTCAGGCCTCACTCACTACTCTTCAGCTGGACTGTTCTCAGTGCCTTCTCGCCTACCATCCCGAGCCCAAGCTTCACGAGCCAACCATTCGCCATTAGACGACAAGTCATCCCCATCACCTTCACCATCTTCGACAGGGTTCGGCAGTCGTTCCACATCACGGCTCCTGCTACGTTCACGAGACACTTGCGAACCAAACTGCAAAGGCTGCAAAGGTGCGGAGGTAGAAGACCTTGCTGTTGTGGAAGAAGACGGCAAAGAGGACGGCAAAGACGACGGCAAAGTAGGCGAGGTCCCGGTACTCCCCGAGGCGCCACTCACCAAGCCAGCAACTGACACATGCCTCATCTCTATGGAGTCCAGCCCATAGCCACGTCTGCGACGGAAACGTCGGCCCCTACGTCGACTTGCCACTCCTTCGCGTTGGCGATCACGTAGGGGATCTTGTGGTAGGGGCGTAGAAGCTGGGTAGTCCACCACGGGCACGTCACTGTTCGTTTGCACTAGGAAGAGATCTCTGTCATCCTCCGCAGGCCAACGACCAAAAGGGGCAGCACTACCTGCACTGCGATACAGGTGGTCGATGTGGACCCTCCAAGCCCTCCGTCGCAGGCCGGCAACTGCTTCAGGGGCGACACCAGGTAGTTGTTCAGCTACCGCATCCAGGGAAGGAGGAAATCCTGGAAGGAGAAGAGCTGCGTGCGGTTCAGTCAAGCCCGTGAAGCCAAGTGACGACTGCGGTGAACCGGACGAGGACTCTCTGCAGACAACCTCCCAAAGTCTTCGCTCCATGGCGGCTGAATTGAGGGGCAGGCCATGCTGACTCCTTCGCAGCCATGTCAGACATTCCTCCAACGCCACGTTGACATGCTGCTGTAGTCTGCTTAAGCCCCTCTGTCGATCCTGGAGCCTGCGGATGAGGTCGATAACGTCTGCGTCGTTGCCATGCCACAAGTCTTGATTAACGGCGTCCCTGATCACGTCCACGGAGAGCAGCTGTGATGAGGTGCTGGTCGTCGTGGATGTCACCCCGTCGGAGTTGTTCAAGTAGCAACCTCCCCAGGGCCAAGACGTAGTGAACGAAGTCACTCCCAACAGGCAGGAGGAGGAAGGCGAAGTGACCATAGAAGAAGTCACCCCCACAACGTGCGGCGCCCCATCGGTAGTGAGTGTGGTTGTCGAGCAAGGGTTCCAGGGAAGGGTCGACGATGTTGGCGGCCATTCACACCCTGCCGAAGCTGCTGAGGCCATCAAGAACGGCAAACACGTCGCGGACGTGGATGTTGTTGAGGTAGTCCAGAGCGAAGAGGTCGCGGTCAAAGTCGATGTCCACGTAGAAGACGTCAAAGACGCAGATGTACTCGAAGTAACCATGGTCGGCCCGGCAGGAGACGTTGTAGTGGAGGACGACGATGTGGTAGACTCCGGTGGTTCCCTCCATATGCCCAAGAGTTCACCGTCAAGAGCCCGTTGTACTTCTTCACCCACCTGCACGGGGCCAGCGGTAGTATTTTCGACTGCAGCCACCACATCTCGTCTCGGTGACCTGCTCCTTATGCTAACCGCAATGGTGGGACTGGAAGAGGACGACGAGGTGCCATTGGCCTCCGGTTCCACATTAGTGGCTCCCGCATTTGACGAGGACGAAGCAGCCGAGGCGACAGCACCTCCATTTTGTTCCTGTTCAGCGATAATCCCGACAGTGCTATTCGCAGGATGAGGCCGAACTCGGTCATACGGAGGGGGCGGGGAATCGAGGCCTTCACTGTTTTGCAGTGGTACAGAGAGGTGTCTCTCTAGGGACGTGACAAAGAGGGTTGTGTATTGTCTCACCCACGTGAAGAAACGCATCCTCTCATGGTCTTGCCGTGGTACTCGAACGACAGGAAGATAGCCACGAGGACGGAGACGTCGATGTAGCACCTCGAGTATAGATTCCAGGCACTGAACGCCGTCTTCCGCACGCTGAACTAGCCTGCAGAGTGCCCAACGTGCCTCAGGGCCAGAATCAAAGGAGTTGTGATCATCTAGCCTGTCCAGCAGCTCCTCCACCCGCCTGATGGCCTCCGTAGGCACCCCATTTTCCTGCAGAGTGCTTCTCTCCGCCCCAGTTAATTGCATAAAGAGGTTCTCCTCCACCTCCGGTGGTACTGGGTTCACATTGGGGAAGAGGCCGTAGTTCGGCGGGAACTCGTAGAGGTCACCAACCGAGGTGGAGGAAGTCGTAGTCCATGTCCAGGCTTCTTGGTTGCTCTTCTCGTCCCACGACCACCAGCTCCACCACGACTGGTTCGACCATTGTTGCCACTGTCCTGACCACGGGTCCGCGTCTGTGAGTACGGTGGGGTCACCCGCCAAAGAGTTGACAGGACATTGGCTTGTAATGTCACCCCCAACAATCACCCCTGGTGTAAAGGAGGAAGCCGAAGACGACGAAGACGGTGTAGTGGTGGCCAGTTGGCGTTGTTCCTTGTCGTCGATGTACTTCACCAGCCACGCGGGTTTCCATTGCCCCGACCAGTAGGCTTGCATTCGGTCCGCCTTTCTTTGAAGTCGTTGTGGGCCCATGCCACCCCTATGTGCCCGCTGCTCAGCTGGCGTACGCTCACGAGGACACCAGACCCCTTGAGACCAGAATCCAACCTGACGCGAAGGAGGAGGGCGAGAGGAGGGCTCCAAGTTGCCATCGTCCGCCCAAGAGCTGCTGTTCTCACCCGTTGTGGAGTCGTTGCCAGCCGTTGTGGTGCCATTGCTGCCTCTGGAGTTGTCACACCTCACCGAGAAATCCAGTCCGTAGAACGTCACGGCCTTCACTGTTCGTTCGTTGCCCTGTATGCCGTGACCAGTGACGGTGAAAGGGGGCCCGTCACTGTCGTTGTTAGTCGTCGCAAAGTCACCCTCGGCTTGTTCGCGCTGAAGACGTTCATGTCGGCGGTTTCTGACACTGCCATCTGGATGGTGCCATCGGTCTACTCCAGGCCTTGTAGTCGTCCCTCTTTGTGTAGTCCCCGTACTTACTTCGGGCGTCGAGGGGCACCTAGAGGAACCTGACGGGGAAGTCAACGTGGAGGGGTCACGGCCTTGAGGAGGTCGAGCATCATCTTCCTGTCCGCGTCTTCGTAGGTGCCGGGTGTCCATGATTGCTGCCAGCCAGTCTCCCTTGTCAGGATCCTTGTTGCTGGAGGACGGCATAGCTACTTCAACCGCAAAGGGCAGAGGAAGTTCCTCTGGAATCGGCGCCAGAGGTGGAGCTCCAGTAGTGTCGGCCGTAAGCCCAGACGCCTGCCACTGCTCAAACTCCTCCTCTTGCAGGTTGAGGCAGACTTCTTCGTCCCATCGGCTGGCCAAATAGGCACTTACGTCTGCCTGACTATCAGCTCGACGTGCTGGCCAGTTTGTGGAGGAAGAAGAGGACGAAGAAGACCCTGTCGCGTCCCAAGAAGGCTCATCCCAGGCCGACGTACTCCTCCAGGTCGACGATGACGGCGGCATAGTAGACGACGGTGGCATAGCAGACGACGGTGGCAAAACCGACGACGGTGGGCATGGGGAGAATGTTGAAGAAGACGCTGACGTAGGCATAGTCACCCCTGAGGACGAGGAAGCCGGAAAAGACACCCCCGAGGACAAGGTTTCATGGGGCACATCCCAAGCAGAGCTGCCTGTCCCTGAGGTGTGAGCAACAGTCCACGTGTCATTTGACCAGGCCCTGGCATGGGCTTCTGCAATTTCTTGCTCATTCCAGCGTCGATGGGCGTCGTTCCCAACATGGCCATCCTGGCTTTCTCCATTGTCCGGTGGTGGCGTAGCGTCATTGTTGGGGTCCACGATGGTCGCCTCCGTGTAGAAGACAAACAGGTAGGGGAGGGCGAAGAAGCGCCACCACCAGGCCATTGCACAGAAGGGGCGAAGACGGCCGAGTTGTCCAAAACACCTCGAGCCCAGAGGCGGTTCGCGAAATGTGCATTTGCCGAGTGTAGCCATGACAAGACTGTGGAACTGCAGTTTCCTGAAACCATGCGCATCGACATGTAAGATGTAGGTCATAAGCATCTGCAACAGAAATTGTGTAATCATACTTGAAAACTTTCAAATTCACCCCGAGAGCGAAGAGCCCAGCTGCAATTCAGTCCCACATACAATGAGAGACTTCACACACAGTAGGTTCAACCCGTCAGAAACGGAGTGCAAGTTGGCGACCTGTGGTCCATCTCACATCCCATTGGGCAATGTAGTCTTTTCGCGCAAGTGCCCATTGTCGTCGATCTTGTGCAAGAACTGACCAAAGGGGCCCGTGGGAGTCAGCTAGCTGCCGTTCTGTACAGGAAGCGTAGAAGCGGCCGGGGTGCCGAAGGCCTGTGTGAGTGAGATCTTGTTGAGACCTCCACCATTGCGTACTGCGCCATTGAAGAGCACGAAGAGGCGGGCTGACCTGAACTTCACCCCTAACACATTCAACTCTTCGGGCCCAGTGTCCGTGGAGTGTATGCTGAAGCGTGAGAATGCGTTCAGACCAGCGGGCTACATGATTGTTGTGAAGCCACACACGTATAAATCTCATTGTACGTGCATTCCATTCTGGCCAATCTTCACCCTGGACACGTCGTAGGCCAAAGGCGGTGCGACATGCGTGTGCCTGCAAGACATTGAGACTATGTAGGTCAGCAGAGCTCCAATGTAAAGCCCCCCCTATCCAGTTAAACTGGGATTCGACAAGGGTTTTCATGATCGCAATCTTTTGGCTCCATGCACCCCGAGCGACAAGGATGTCACGATGCGCGTGGATGGCATCACGAGTGCGTGCAATGATACCTCTGGCCTGCTCGGAGGGATCGTCGGTGAGAGCAAAGGTCACCCCCAGTACGCGGATGGACTCACCCCAGGGAGCGATCTTGAAGAGGCTGTCACCAACCTTGGCCTGACGGACACCAGTGTAGTGGTTGTTCGCTACAATCTTGGTCTTTTCCGTTGCGAGTCGAAGTCCTGCTCTGGCCAGGCATTTATCAACGACGCGCACCTTCTTCCCCAGTCTGGCAAGCTGAGTGTCAACTAAGAAAACATCGTCCTGGTAGAAGAGAAGATCCAAGGCGAGGCCAGGCAAAACTTCCCCAAGATCACCCCATTGACGACAGCGAACAAGGTCACTCAGTAATGCATCGACGACTAGGCCAAACAACTCTGCGCTTTCAGGAGCTCCCTGCTTGATCCCGACGTCCGGTGTCAAGGTGAGAGAACTTCCCCCCGGAACTGTGCCATGCAATTGGTGGGTGCGAAGCTGTTGTAGCATGTACTTGAGCTCCTGCTACACATGTTGCCCTTGGAGACGTTCGACCAAGATGCTCGCGACCTTGCCTCTGTCGATCCTGTCGAAGGCACCGGCAACATCTAATTTACACAGCAGTAGCGGGAGTTTCCATTCACGTGTGACATCACGAAGGCGAGAGAGACACCCCACGAGATCGGCGGACTGTCGACCTTTACCGCAACATGAAATGCAAGATCCTCGTCTCATCAACGGCATCACCCGACTGCAAACAACGCGGTTGACGAGTTTGTTGAAGGCAGAGGACACGGCAATTGGGCGAAGATCGCCAGCACGAAGGGGTCGAGGGATTTTCGCGAGCAACGCGAGGAAACTGTGCTCCCAACTCGGAGGAAGTTCTTGAGAGGCGACAATGTGATTGACGAGCGAAGTCAAGCTAGGCCCAAGGGACTCATGTGAAGCAATGCAGCGCAAGAGATGCACCCCGATCCCATCAGGTCCAACTGCACTACGACACCTCATTTGTTGCAATTCCTCACAGATCTCCTCAAGGGTGAAAGGAACAAAGGCAGCGTCCTCCCGCAAGTCGACCTCAGAACGAATGATCTCGTCGAGCTTGTCATTCCACAGATCAGCTTTCTGGCCACTCGTCATCTTCTGAGCAAGGTGATCGTGAATCTCACTTGTCAACTGCGCCGACGAACGTTCCTCCAAGAGTGCACCCCACCAGCCTTTGCACCTCTTCTTTTCATTTTGCAGCAAACGATACTGATCCCAGTTACCTGCAAGGATGGAACTGAGACGGTCCTGTTGCCAACGTTTGCGTGAGGCCTTGCGCAGTTTGTGAGCTCTCTTCCAGTCGGCAACACGGTTGGAGTCTTTGGCTTGACGAATGGCGTCTTTCGTTTCTTCATCGTCGCGAAAGGCACAGGAGGACCGTGGGCGAGTGCATGTCTTGCCGAGCGCAATAATGTCCTCCTCGTCAACAAGGTCTCCTCCTGGAAGCTCAGACGTCACCCAGCGAGCTCTAGAGTCATTGTTCCAACGTTTGCCCATAGCTCCACCCGCAACGTAGACTTCACCAAAGAGAAGTGCATGGTCTGTGCCAATGGCGAAACGGCGGTCCGCATCCACAATGATCGGCTTGATGTGCAACTGGCGAGAGAGAACAATGTCGATTTGTCTCCCACTGCGCTGCTCATCCCTCGGGAAGTGCGTCGGGGCATACTGGAAGACTTCATCAGGCGCAACGGGAACGACACCTTGCTGAAGTGCATCATGAGAAATGCAATTGAAGTTGTGGCTGCCAGTCCCCAGAACAAGGCCTTGAGCATCACCCTGCTCCCAAGGCGGAACCTCATTGGCATCAATGCCGCAAAGGAGAGGAAGATGGCGGTATTTTCGAGGGCAAGCCGCAAAGAACTCATGCACAGCCGCTTGGTAAACATTGTTTGTGACTCCCGTATGTCCATGCATCGAACCGATAATGACTCGGCCTAGATCTTGTAAGCGCGCCACAACCCAAATTCCTCTAGAAGTGCGAACTTTATGGACAATGCAGTCCAGCTTGTCCGAAGCAATGCCAATGCCGACCCCACGCCAATGTCGCTCATCACGATGGCATATCCAATGAAACAGCTCCGTGTTGATTTCACCCCATCCTGACTCACCGCGCGAAAGTTCCTGAACCATAATGATGTCCAAGTCGCTTGCAACAACATCCAGCAATTCCGGGCGTTGTCCTCCTAAATTCCAGTGGCCAACACGTCCCCACCTGCGTATTGCACGCAGAGAAGATGAGGCTTTCCGTTCCTTGGGAACCAGATTTTCACCCCAGCAAGGGACAGTGTCAGGCGTGAAACGTCCTCCCTCGAAGTGTCACAGCTCCAACTCAAAGGCACGTTTGGCCTCGTCTGTGGAGCAACAGGCTGTCCTTGCGACCGCACTAAGGCTGACCCAGCCACCAGCCATGGTCACGGTTTCCTCGTCACGAGGAGGTCGGTGAGCAGCGCTGCCGAGTTTCAACGGCCCGCACCAAATGGTGCCCATATTCCAATCGCAATCGAACATGGACATTTGATCATTGACGACGCTGTTCACCCCACCCTCATGGCGCGCATGAGCTTCTTTGGCAAGTGCAATCGTCACCCTCCGGATCATACTCACATGTCCACTTCGCAACCTTGCGTTTTTGCTCTTCACAAAGCTTGCCCACATGGTGCGACTGTCACCCCCGGACCGTGTAGATGGAAGTACATGTTTGATCTGAGCCAGCGCCTTAATGAACTGCCACATGCGATTGCGAACGTCAGCGTCTCTTTCACCCTCCCTGACTGAGAATTTCAGCATGCCAACGGAACGTCTGGGCCCGTAGATTGCAAGTTTCTCCACGTCCACCAGCTGCTTGACTTCGGGCATCTGAAGGATGATCGCAGCCTCCTCTTCAATGGTGTTTCGTCGTGTGTCCTGTAGCCACCCCCCGACAACGAGAGTTCGCTTATCCTCCTCCGAGAGAAAGTCACCCCGGTCGCCTTCAGGAACAGCACCAGCATTTGTCACCCCCGCGGGGGCCGGGCTTTTGTGACCATCCTGTCGACGGTTCAGAAACTCAGCCCACGGATCAACTGGCGGAACTCCGTTGTTGACCCCAGCGGGAACAGCAACACCCCCAAGTGGCTGAGCAGGGCCGGAGGTTTGCAGCTCGTCAATTCGAACTTTCATGTTTTTCACCTCTGTCGCCAGGTTGTCGAGGTTAGCGGTGGTATCTTGTGCGACTTGACGATGATGCTTCATGTCCCTCTCAGTCACAGCTGTTCTAGCCTGGAGGTCAGTGAGGACACCATTAACACGTCCCTGCTCTGCTTCGACTTGATCAAGTCGCCCCTGGAAAGATCCCCATGCACTCCTCATCTCGCTCACATGTCCTGAGAGGAGGGCTCGAAGTTCACGTGCCGTCAGAGGTAGTTCATCACTTCTGCTGGCCCGCTTGGTCGGGCTGTCCAGGTCCTCGTCATCCTCTTGTTCAGGTACAGCACGGAGAAGTCCATCTTGTCGTGGTTCCACCCGCTTGCGTTTCTCGAGCTTGACCTCTTTCTTACATTCTTTGCCTCGATGTCCTTCTCCGAGGTTGGGGTCCAGGAAAGGGTCAAGGCCGGGCCCGAGGTTAAAGTCCGCATTCTCCTCTTCCTCGACAGCTCAGTTGGGGATCCCACAACTTCGACCGCCATGTCGAGGTCTGGTAAGTCAGCTTGCGTGGGCTCATTGTCTCCCATCGTCACCCCCGTAGCAGTCACCCTCGGAACTGAAGAGCTCAGCGAGGTAGAAGAGGAGAAGGCAACTGCGAAGCCACCGGCGAGAAGCTCAACCAAGGTGACGACGAAGAAGGAGAAGTAAGAGCTCACAACTCACCCCAGTGCGAGGTCCGGGGCAGTGAGGAAGGTCAGGGAAACAAAGATGAACCGCAGTGGCAAAGAATCGTCCCTCCAACAAAAGGGTATGTCTTCCACCACGTCACCCCGCTGAATCGTGTAATGCAGAGCGGAGACCGTAGTGGACCAGCGGTGTACTTACGGATAAGCTGGTAACCGACGAGGTCCCCGTCCAACTTCGCGGGCGACCGTCGGAGGAACTCGCCGCAATCGGACAGACAGGGCGCTTCCGGAGGGGGAAAGGGCACAAACTAGCAAAACCTGAATGAGCCCAACAGCTTGAGCCGTAGCCATTAATGGCCGGTTTCGGGTTCAGGGTGTGGGGTTCAGGGTTCATAGGCTCCACCACGCTCTTCGACAGGTGTAGCTTTTGTTGAAGAATCAGGGGGCATGAAGCCACGAGAGACAAGCACGACAGCGGCAATCACTCCACCCATGCATTTGAAGAAACGCAACTTTTCGACACCTGAACCCCCCGAACACTGTGCCAGGCCAACCACGACAGTACTACATAGGCATAGACTGCGAGTGATCCGTTTTATCAGGGCCCCTTTTGAACTCCATACACAAACCCCCATCAAAACAAAAGCTAAAAAGAAAGCCTCTTTGGGACCCAATCTGTATAAACAAAAACTCTATGAAGAAACCCTATTCAGGCCTAGAAAAGCCCTGTACGACGACTCTTACAAAACCTCATAAACTATCAACCGGCATAGAAAGCCCTTCTTAAACTAAACCCTAAACCCTAAACCCTAAACTCCCACGGATTTGTTCAGACTGGGGAGTTGGCGGATCCACGTCCGTAAGCTCGGGGACACCTCGGAGGTAGCACCCGAAAGGTCTTGGAAGCAGTGGGCTTGTGGCTTAAAGGGTTTAGGGTTTAGGGTTTAGGGTTTTGGGTTTAGGCTTTTTAGGGCTTGGGGTGTAGAATCCTAAACCCTAGGCCCTAAACCCCTTAAACCCCTAAACCCTAAACCTGGCGACCTTTGGGAGAAATTTTTGTCTGCTGAAGGGCCTTCTCATAGTGCTGTCTCAAATCCAAGCTTCTCATGAACCGAGCAGAAGCCCTAACTACAAATCTAGGGTTTAGGGTTCAGGGTTCAGGGTTTAGGGTTTAGGGCTTTTTTTTAAGGGTTTAGGGTTCAGGGTTTAGGGTTCAGGGTTCAGGATTTGGGGTTTAGGGTTTAGGGTTCAGGGTTTCGGGTTCAGGGTTCAGGGCTTAGGGCTTAGGGCTTAGGGCACACTGATAATAAAGCCGAAGGGCTTTCTTATGTGGCGAGAGAGCTCAACAACACAATGACGGTGCTCACTGACAGCTGGACATCTGTCTAAACATGTTACATCCCAAATGACGTATTGCGATCCCGGAGGCTACCCAGATTCTTCAGCGACCGCATCTGCAGCACTGCCGGGTGCTCGCCTGCGGACTGGGCTTGGGGTTCGGTTTGTGTCGTTTGGGTTAGGGGTTTAGGGTTTAGGGGTTTAGGGTTTAGGGTTTAGGGGTTTAGGGTTTAGGGTTTAGGGTTTAGGGTTTAGGGTTTAGGGTTTAGGGTTTAGGTTTTAGCGTTAAGGGTTTAGCCCCCAACAGAACACTCTGGCCTCGGTGTGTTTTCCAAAGGGAAATTTGCTGGGGAAGGTGTAGGACCAAAACATCGGCTCTACATGTCAGCAAGTACCCTGCATTGCTCCAGCTAGCGCTTCTGCAAAGAAACAAGAAACCCAAGTCTCTGCCAAAAAAGCTCTCGCCTCTTTAGCAGAAGGCCAAAGACATGACGGAGACTTCATCGGCCCCACTCAAAGGAGAACACGAGGAGGTAATGACAAGCTCATCGACACAGAAAAAAGACAGAGACGGAGACGGAGACAGAGACAGAGACAGAGACAGAGACAGAGACAGAGAGAGTGAGAGAGTAAGAGAGTAAGAGAGAGAGAGAGAGA